CCTGGACCTTGGGTGCAGCTGATTCGGGGCAAAGGGGGGGGCCCAGACGTGGTAGTGGGGGTGGGGGCAGGTACCTGGGAGCAGGGTCCCCTCCCCTCTCACCCTGCCCCTCTGCCTTGCAGCTCCCCTTCGCCGTCCTCCCAGTTCTCACTTTCACCAGCATGCGGCCGCTCATGCAGGAGTTCACCAATGGCGTGTGAGTACCTGCCCGGGCCTGGGGGTCCCACCTCTCCGCCGGGCCGACGGCTGGGGGCGCAGGCAGCCTCCCCAGGGCGCCCGGCGTCCAGATCCCCCCAAATGCTGAAATTAACAAGCAGCAGAACCCTGGAACTTTGGGGTTTGTCAGGACCTGGGGGCGGGGCATCCTTCAGCCAATCGCGTGGCTGGGTTGGGGGGAGGGTCACAGGTAGGTGCAGGTGGGCAGGCCGTGCTTGCCATGTGCTCACCGGGCCCCCTTGGGCCTGGGCCTGCAAGAGCCGGGCTGGCAGCACAGGGCACGGGAGCTACGCCCTGGCGCACGGCCCCACACGGGCAGTGCGTCAGCCCCTCCCGCACGGGTGCACCCCCTGCACGGGACAGGCAGGGCAGAGCGGGGCCAGCCCATGCAGAGTCAGAGAGGCTGGACCCCGACCAGGCAGCTGTCGGGAGGGGGCCAGGCCGGGCTCACGGGCGCTCTGGTCTCCGCAGTGTCGGGAAGGTGCTGATGATCCTCATCACCGGGCTGATCTGTGCCATTAACCTCTACTTCGTGGTGATCTACATCCCTACGCTGGGCAGCATCGCCTACTACATCCCCCTGGCCTTCGTGCTGGCCGGCTACGTGGCCTTCACCGCCTACCTGGTAGGGCGGCTGGGGGCGGGCCTGTGCTCTAGGGCTGGGGGATCCTGTCCTGGGCTGGGAGGAAGTACTTGGTGGTGGGGGGGATTGTGAGCACTTCAGGGGGCTCAGGACCTGGGAGTTCTCTGCCAAGCCGTGCACCTCATGTCCCTCCCCAGCGACCCCCCAGCGCCTGACTCCAAAGGGGACCCCCTACTGGTCAGATAGGGGAACAACGGGGGGACCCCTCACAGCGCAGCTCCAGTGATCAGAGCAAGATTGGGCAGCCCCTGCCCGCACCCACTGGTTTTCAGGGGCACCTGCTACCTGCAGAGCTGGGACAAGGGCTGGTCAGAGACGGGCAGACCCTAGCCAGGGGCGAATCAGAACCCGCTGCCACATTATCCAGCCCCCAGGTCCCAGTCAGTGGTGGGCTTGGGACCAGGCTCTGGTCGGTCTCTGGAGCGTGGCTCAGGTCAGGGGCTCTGATCCCACCACGCAGGCTGGACTCTGGGGCAGAGAGTGAGTGGGGGTCACTAGGTCATCTCCCCCCTTTGCTCCAACACCCCCCACCCAGCCTCTGTCCCAGTCAGCACCTCAGCTGGTTTCCCTCTCGCCCCCCGCAGATCTGGATGTGCTGTATTGCACACGGCGCCGACTTCCTGGCCTGCGGACGCCACAGCCAGTTCTCCTATGGGCTCCCCTCCACTGACCCCCCAGGCGGGGCAGGGCCCCGATGACGCGTCGTGCCCTGCCCGCTGGGCACTCGCGCCACAGGACTGGGCTGCCTCTGGGTTTGTCGCCATCCCAGGAGGGAAGGAAGCCATCGCCACGCAGTCACCGCTACTGGCAGGGCCGGGATTCAGGGCTGGGCCCCCCACTCCCGCCATGGACTGACGGACATGCAGCATCCCAGGGCATCTCCCCTTCTCAGCAAGCGCAGGGCGTGGGGGGACGGCACTGAGCAATCAGCACCTGTGATCTCTCTCTCTCTCTCTCTCTCTCTCTCTCTCACACACACACACACACACACACACACAC